GGCGGCGGGGCGCTCCGCGGCGGGGCTTGTCCCGGGGCTGCCGCCGCCGCTGCTGCTGCTGCTGCAGCGCTCGTGCGCACTGGGAGGCGCCCAGAGGCCCGCGCCACCGCGCGTAGCGGCCCAGTCACCTCGTGAGGGAGCCGGGAGGGCCTGAGCAGCCCCCGCGCTGCCCGGCAGCCCCTCCTCGCGTGGGGCCTTCGGGAATTCCACAAGTTGCCCCTGCCGGGTGTCGGTATTCCCGTTCCCTCCGTGCTGCTGAGTCACCCCCGCGCTGCTGCTCCCGAGCCCCTGCGCGCAGGGCGCCTGGCCGGGCTGGGCACCGAGGTGCCCGCGGCCGCCTCTCCCGGGGGCTTTAGCGAGAACGTTCACGGGAACGGGAGAAAAACGCAGGAGCCAGCCCAGACTGAAGTGGCCAGGAAGACCTCTTTGGAGAAAGCAAAACTATTGATGAGGCCGCTTCTGGTCATGGCTTGTTGCAAAAAAGGTTGTTCCTGTTACAGGGAACTGTAAAAAAAGCTTCCAAAAAAAATCAGACACTTCAAGAAAAGTTTAAAAAATATATATTTTTTCATAATCAGGCCAAAGGAGTATTTTCTGTTTGAAATTAGCAGAAAAAATCTAATAACTGCTTGTTTATTTGTTTTTGTTTTTAATACAGAGCTACCCTGCTTTTTCAATGGGAAACTTCAGTATTACTGATCTTGGCAGTTTAATGTTGCCTCCTGCCAGACATGGTCTGACTCCCTGTAGAGCCCCTGCGGCTGCAGGAACCTTTAGTTGGAGGCTGGGCCAGTTCCAGCTAATTCCGCTCCCCCCCCCCCCCCACTCTCCCCCCAAGGGAAGTAAGTGTGAGCTGGCTTAACTTTCTTTACTGGTTTAATTCCTTAAACCAACTTCAAGGATAAGAGAAGCACAGGGGAAAGAAGCAGTAGTGCTGAGGTGTTGCCTGGAAAGGGAAGGATTGTGGCAGTACCAGCTTAATTTGTTTAACCTTTCATGGACTGATACCTTTGGGGTTGTGATGCAAGAGTGGGGGCAGCTGGTGCTAGTCTCAGAGAACTGATTCGTGTCCTCAGCTGTCTGCCTTGCCTCTGCAGCTGAAACCCTAAATTTAGCCCTGGGAAAGGTAAGCTGCTTTTGCAGCAGCTGCTAGCCTGCCACAGCCTGCTACCCAGCACATGGATGCCCCTCCAGAGCAGTTTGTTTCGATGTGCCGTAAATTGAAGCACTTTGACTGAATCTTCCCTGCAGTTTGACTCCTAGATGTTATGGAATTATGACAGACAAGAGGAAATTTTACTTGCTACATTAATCTTAATAAGGAAAGGACAAGTTTTGAAGCCCTTCCCTCTGCGTTTTCTGAAAAGCAAGGACTATCGGCAGGTCAATCTGAAATAGAAGCCCACAGCAGTATCTGGTAGCAAAAGCATAAATATTCAAACTGGAAGTCCTGTATCAATCTTCTAGATAGATAGATATGCTTTTCTTTCTTCTGGAAGAATACCTTCCAGTTGGTGACCTGTTGGGCAAATTCACTTCTTGGATTGCTGTGGTCTAAATGGCTGCCTTGCTTTTGGAGGAGAGGAGGATGTGTTTGCACTGTGTAGGCTGTCGGAATAGTTGAGTGCCTTCTGTTGTGCATGGCCTGCGTGCCTACAGCTGTGACAGTCCATGCTGAAGCAAAGGAAAAAAGGGAGGCATCACTCTCTCTGGATTTGTGTGGCCTGGAAGTTGTCACTACTGTATCTGTCGTCCTGAATCTGTCATCACAACCTATAGCTGTGGAGACCAGAGTGTACAAAGAAGATAAATATTCTTAGTTAGGTATTTTCCCCATTTATCTGTTATTGGTCAGTATTTAAAAATAGCTTTTGTGCGTATGTCAGTATTGTGAAAATTACATGCAGATATTCTTTGAGGAAAACAACCACATAAAAAAAGATGGTGGTAATAGGTGGGGGTGTGTGAGAGATGTAGAGACTAAAGAAATCAAAATTTTGAGTCATTTCCTTAAAAGGAGATGCTGTCATTGAAAAACAAAGCCTTGTAATTAGGGTTTGGCTGTGTGCTTGCTCTGGTCGAAGTGCCTTGGCACGAATCTGGTTGTCATATCTGCAAAATGAATGCTTTTTACAGCAAAAGTTATGAAAATAGTGAAGCAATGGAAAATAAAACTTTCTGAACAGTTTGTAGTCCTTTTGATCTCTTGCAGATGCACATTTCATATTTTCATGTGCATAATTTTAAATTTTGGGAGGGGGCAGAGGGATAGTTTAGTGTTAAGGGACTGAATCAGCAAAATGTAACATTTTTACCTGGGTAAATCAGTTCTGACAAACTATTAGTGAAACTGTATTCTGAGCATCAAATTGAGTTTTGTTCTTGTTTACTTTTAGATGCCTGTCTTAGATGTCAAGCTGAAAACAAACAAGAAGATTGTGTTGGTATGTAGTGATTTCATTTGCTTGTCTTTCAACTGAAGCTTTTTTTCTCAATAGGGTGCATTTTAGAGTTTGAAGAGAATGCTAATTTTCTTAAAGCTCAAAAGTAATCTGTGGCTTAATTCTGTAGTTTATCGTTGTTTTACATTAGTAAAAATAGCTTTGGCTTTATTTTTTGAGTACTAAACATTCGTATTCACTTCAGATGCGAGGTAGAACAAAACACCTTCACATTTTCAACTTGTTTGCTAGCACGCATGCTCTTTCCTCATAATCTTTGCTCACAACTTTGTGAACTTTTAAACCTAGTAATAAACCTCTCTGCAACCCTCTTATTTCTGTATTAAAATATTATGTTGTCTCAACCCTCTTGATGGTTGTTTTAACTGGAACAGAAATTATCTGTTGAAGAACCTGCGGTTGGCTTGATAATGTCTTATTTAAGATAATCAGAGAAAAATAAGTGTTGTAAATTGTTTTGGTTTTCTTTGATTGTGAATATGTTCAATTATGTTAACTGTTGATATGTTCAGTTGTTGTTAACTGTTAATAGGAGAAGAAAAGCAAAGTGACTAACACTGTTTAAGAGTAGATGGAAGAGTTGGTATATAGAAGTAACTGTATCCTGTGAACTACTACTGCTCTGAGATCCTGTTTTGAGGCTATGTACTGTGTCAAATGTGTCCTCTTATAATCTTAAATTATTTAAGTTTGAACACTATATTTCAGATAAGAATTAGGTAATATGCTCTTTAGTGATAGCAAGTAGTGCATTGGCTGCATTTTGCTACTGGGGCAATTAAAGTGAACAGAACTCAGCCAGATGAACTTGTTCTGATCACAAACATAAATATGTTTATACCAAATCACAGGACTATACAAGAAGATGAGAATATTTATTTTCATTTGGAAATAAATGCAAAGATTGGTGAGAGCAAACTGAGAAGTGTAAGTGAAGTAAGAAGAACAGTAATAATACAAAGTGGATGAAGCACCAATCATATTTTTTTTATATAAATATCATATCAGCTTGCAATATCTATAAACATTTGAGAACAGTAGTTTGGACCTAGCTATAAATGTTGGCTAGACATCTGCTCGGGAGTTTAACTGGCACATTTTTTCATTTCTTTCAGTGGTCTGGGGAGAATGCAATCATTCCTTCCACAATTGCTGCATGTCCTTGTGGGTGAAACAGAATAATCGCTGTCCCCTCTGCCAGCAGGACTGGGTAGTCCAGAGAATAGGCAAATAAAAACACTGGAATATTTTTCTTTTTCTGTTGAACTTGTTGAAATAGTGTATGTCTTATGCCATATGTTCGTACAAAAGAATGAAACAGGCCAGTCATGGCACAGTTTGTTTGGTTTATCTGCCACAATAATGGAGTGGTTTTGTTGTGCGCTCTTTGCTGTATTAGGAGGCAGTGGTCAGTTTCACTGCAGATCTTTCCACAACTGAAAAGAGACACTATGTTAAAAATGTGTGTATTACAATTTGAGTGATAACTGTATCAACATAGAAATACATTTGTATAAATTTTACCCAGATATAGTTTAATGTATTTGGTTAGAGAAGTGAATGAATTGAAAGGGGAGACTGTTTGAAAGTCTGATACACTGTATTGCTCATCATTAGAAAAAAAAAAGTTGTCTAAATGATACTGCCTACGAAACCAGAGTCACTGAGGTTTGTCAGAAAGTATTTTGTTAATCTAAAGTAAAAGATGTGTGAAATATTTATTACTTGCTTTTTCCATCAGACTATACGATGCATTTCTCATTTAGGTTTTCTTTAAGACTTAAGAAAATTATGTTTTGCTGTATTTCAAAATCTGTTGTTTAATATTCTATACATAATTTTTACAACCGTAATGTTAAACCACATTAATTTTTTTTTTAATTTATATTTCTATTAAAGGTCATGGAAACATGCTCTTTTAATCCAGAGACTTCTGGTGCAGGGACACATCTTTGATATCAGATACGCCACTAATTAGTGATGTAAACAATTTTGATGGTTAGTTGACTAATACAGAAAGCAAGCAACACTGTTAACTTAGATATCTGAAGGAAAGCAGGTACTTACTAACTTTAGCAAAATATGTTATAATAAATTTATCAAAAGTCTCTTACACAAATTTCTTTATCATTTTATCAGATAAAATGCATGTTTTTGGGGGTAGGAGAATGCATTGTTTCATTGTTATGAAAATCTTCAAAATACCATTTTTTTGGTTTGATCAGGCCTGTGGTTTTCATTACGTTTGTTTAATAGCTTGCCTCTCACTTTCTGTTTATCTTTTCCCTAAATATCCAAAGTAAATACAGTTAATGTCAGCATATACTGAGAGAATGAATTTTTAATTTAATCTGAACATACAGTGTGGGTATTTTTATAAATAATAGATTGATGTTATGTCTGAAATGAATTCAGATTCAATAAAATAGTAAATAAACCTGGGCAGATTTGAAACAATTTTATGCGTATTATTGTTTACTACAAAATGATGAACTTAAATATTCAGGGTTTATACATTCCTAAATAGAGGTATTTCTAGCTACTTCTGTTTATTTTAAATATAATTAAGAGGTATAACTTCATTGTCTAAAATAAGTCCAATGGAAATCTAGGTTATTCCATAAAGTGTACATATAAAGTGTAACGTGCTTTTGTTTCCTACTTATTTTCTTGCTTGTAAAGATTTGAATGTTTAAAATCTAGCTTGTGTAACAAGTCTCGCTGTACAGTAAGAGAAATCACAGAAATTCTTTATTGGGTCATTGTTGCAGTGTATCACATCAGTTTTAATATCCCAGATACTGTTTTTCTGAAAACTTAAGCCAAATACAAGAAAGGCTAATAATAATATTGAATGAAATGCCTGTAGCTTTTACGTTGCTGTGGCTTCTTTCATCTTCCATCTTCAGTTTGGGTGAAAATTCCTTCCTAACATGATGAGAAAATAAATTCTTTTTAGATGTGGAAGTAATTTTTAGCTATAGCAGTTAAGCTATCTTTAGCACATATTTTCTCTGCCAATACTTGGTCCCTAGTTCTGTCCTCTTCTGAGAATTTCTTTGTTCATTTTGCTTGAGTTTGTGGAAGATACCAAAGTAATTCTCCGTCTGATTGCAGGTCACATGTGTCATGTGCATGACAACAGCTGAAAGTTTTGGTTGCAGACAAGTCGTCTTAAGTACTACCTGCAACAGGTCCCAATGCAAGTGAAGCATTCAGGAGGTTAGATGCTGAAATTGAGGCAGCTAGCATGCCTCTTCTACCTGTGTAAAATTTGAAGAAATTTTCACAACATAGAAGCCAAGTATACTCGGTTCACTTTGGAAGAGATAAATCTTTGAAATATGTTAGGAATCACAACAAAATCTAACCTGGAAGGGACCCCAGGAGACCATCCAGTTCACCTTTGCTGAAAGCAAAGCTTTGCCTCAGTCAAGCCAAGTCCCATGCAGTCTGTCACTCTGGGCCAACTATTCCAATGTGAAATTGTTCTCATAGTAAAAAAGTCTTACATGCAGAAGGAATTTCCTCTGAATCGAGAAGTGATTTCCTCTGAATCATCTTTTGCTTATTGCCTCCTGTCCTCTTATCATGCATCGTTCTGAAGAGGGTATACCTTGAGGAGAGAAAATCTGCATTTTAAAAACCATCTGCTTTTTAAGTGTTGTAAGACTGAGATTAGCTTTCCCTCCTCTCTCTGCAAACATGCTTTTATCTAGGCTCTTATCTAATTGTTTATCTAGGCTAAACAATTTTTCAACCTCACTTCATAGGTCCAGTCAGCTAGCTTTTAGATCATCTTGATGGCCCTTTGCACAACTCCATATTTTTCAAGGTCTCTTGAATTTGAGAGACAAAAAACACATGCAAATATTCCAGGTGGGGCTTAACAAGTGCTAAGTAGAAGTGGGGCTTAACAAGTGCTAAGTAGAAGTTCCATATCCTTCTTCAATACATGAGTTTAATAAGTGAAGTTGTTGAGAGAAAAACTTTTAACCCAAGAAAAAATGCTGCTTTTTTTTTTTTTTTTTTTTTTTTTAAACTGTCTTTGACTCTGCTGTTTTTGACTGAAATAAGCAGATATTCAATATGGAAATTTTCTTTCCAAATGACTAAAATTTTAAATGGTTACATGAAAACAGAAGTAGGATAGTGCCAAACATTAAAAGCAGACCACTCTAAAAGGTCTCTGCAGTACAGTACCATAGAGTTCACATACTTTTGTAAAATTTGGCCTTTGAGACAGATGCAAGCAACTGCAAATCATTACTTGAACAGGTAAGATGCTGTTTGGAGGAATACAGTTTAATCTGTGAAGTATTGCTTCTCAATTTAATGATTGCAAACTGCCTTATTTTTAAGATAGCTTAGTGTGGGTCTGATAAATTAATATGACGTTAGTAAGTTTGTCATACAGGTAGGATGTAGTTGTTCCATTTCCTTCTCATTTCACTAGAAGACTTGCAAACAATTCAGTGGATCTTCATGTCACTAAATGTAAAGAAAAAAAAATGTGAGTACTTAAATTCACTGGGTCACGTTACTGCTAACATGGAAGAATGTGGGAAGACAGCTTTATTTTCTTTGTGACTATAGCTAAGCTATAGCTAAGGTTCTTCAATGTGTGTGATAAATGCATTGGTCTATAAAAATATGTATATAGTTTTCTTGTAATGCTAATCTTTAAAATTTGTAAAAGGTCTCCCAGTCTAATGCCCAAATATAGAATGACCTGTTAGTGCATGAGTTTCTCTAAAAAGTCATAGTTTTGTTTTTCCTTATTTTTTACTCGACCACCGTATTTTGCACATTGCACTTTGCAATGGATCATCTTCCCAAACTCAGCTAGAAAAACAAACCTATAATGCAATTTTGAAGAGTATAAGCATGAATTCAGAGAGGTAAGCATGTGAAAACAAAAGACTCTGTAGTGATAGGGTAGCAAAGTTAACAAAAAACAGCTAAGAAGGGTAGAGCACTTAAGAGTCTGTGTGATGCCTGTTGTTACTCCTGATGTTTAGTGTTTGTATCCCATGATTCAACTCTTCAACTTGCTGTGAAATAAAATGATGGAAAAGGAGAATAGTAGTGTCTTGAGTAACATGACCTTGTTTCTGCTGCTAGAGAAAACATGGAACTACTTTATCCTGTGATATCTTATTTCAAAGAATTTTTAGCTGCCACATCATGGACTCACAGCAGAACGGTTCAATGTGGTAAGTCCTACACTTGCTTTTTAGTATTTGCGAAAAAAAATGGGGCACAGATGTCCTTCTAGGCAGTCAGTGAGTGAAGTTAGGTTGATTTTGCCTTCACTTGTCTGTAATCAGCTTTGTTCCTTTGTTGATGTCACCTCAGGCATAGGCTGTTGCCACCTTCTTGTCCTGCCACTCATTGTCCTAATGCAAATTTAGTAGAGAAGACAAAATTGAGACTACTATATCTTTTGGAACAGTCATGGCAATATTTGACCAGTCATTTGAAGAGTATTTTCTTTTTCCTGTGTGTGTGAGATCAGAATTTTATGCTGTTTTGTGTGTAGAGATCATTATTTTTAGAGCTGCTGCTGTTCTTAGCCTCTGCTTCATATAATCCGCTTTCTGTGCCTTCAGAGGAAGCAGCATAAGGTATCAAGCCTTGCATGAGAGATCTGTAGTCCAGAGCCATTAGTGTTGAACATAACTTGAGTTTTAGAAGTGTGGGTGCTCAGTGCCTGGACGAGTGATAATCAAAAACTCAATAACTCATGTTGGTCTATGTCAGCTTCTGTTTCAGGTATGGAAGATTGTGATAAAAGCTTTTTGTAAAAACAAATCCCAACTTAATTCCCGTTAAAGAATTGTATGCATGTGGTGTTCACTGTCATGAATGAGGGAGCCAAGATACTGTTGTCTTAAGTAGCCAGAGTGCTACTGAGTATGGAGTGGCCACATATTGCAAGCAAGAGTCTTAGCCCAGCAGCCAGGGACGTTGCGGATATAGGCTATTGGGGCCTGTTCTGAGAAACATCAGCCAGACTGCATTTCTTTGCTGCTGCTAGTGAGATAATTCGCCTAGGATGTCATTCCTCAACTATATATAGCAAACTCAAAGCTCCTTACAGAGAAACCTCTTACCAGTCACTTTCCACAAATGGTACGTATACCTAAAGGTACTTAGTGAAAATCCTTGAGAAGTATTTAATGCAAAAGCAGTTGGTGTCTCTGGTGTGTTTCAGAAGCCCACACACACCACCAGCAGGGAAAAGGACAGGGCAGCTGCAGCATACCTCTTGGGAGCCTTCGTCATTTTGTCTCAGCTGAGCTTTGCCACCCCAAGAGTTTGCCAAGATGTGTGACATGGGAGGGCTTGACAACTTGATTGCCAACACAGCCTACCTGCAGGCCAGGAAGAGTGGAGATGGAGACACCAAAGAGATGCAAAAGAGACGCAAGAGCCTCTCACTGCCCAAGGTTGACCAGTGTAAAGATGCTAGACAGTCCATTGAGGTTGATTATGAGAGCATCTGTGAACAGCAGCCCATCGGCAAGAGATTCTTCAGAGACTTCTTAGAGACAGTGCCTGAACATTTGGTAGCTATAGAATTCCTGGATGAATTGTCAAACTGGGAGTTAGCAGAGGGCACTACCAAGAGCAAAACCATGGAGAATATAATGACCAACTTTCTTAAGACAGGTGGCAAAAACTATCTGAGTTTCATGAGTTCTGATTTGGCCAGCAAATGCCAAGCAGCTGCTGAAAAGGACTATGAGAATCTTGTGCATCGGGCCAAGGAGGAAACCAAACTCTTCCTCCAAGGCAAGCCCTTTCAGGACTTCCAGGACAGCCCCTTTTATGACAAATTCCTCCAATGGAAAGTTTTTGAGAAGCAGCCAGTGACTGACAAATACTTCTATGAGTTCCGAGTTCTGGGCAAAGGTGGCTTCGGAGAGGTAAGAACTGTCCCTTTGAGGGTGCTGGTCATCCCTCTCCTTCTAAGACCAGCAGGTGGGTTTGAAAAGGAGGATTTGGAGTAAATTAAGAAATCATTTCAGGTTTTGCAAAACCTGAATTAGGCTGTTCGTGGTCTATATTGTTGGTAGACTCCAGATGCCAATTAGTGAAGAGCTTTTCCATGCATCTTGTTTTCTGTCTATGCTGGTAAAGAAATAGAACACATACAGGCTTGCTTGATTATTCATGTAATTAGTTATTAGCCCACTTCTTACCATAGCTTTGGTCTGTGCTAGCTCATACCATTCCAAATAATTTCTAGATTGAGTTTAGGGAATAGCACAGATGAGGATCTGTGAAGGAGAGCATGAGGATGTGTTGTTTTGGGAGAGAAGAGCATTCAGCTGTACTGATGAAAACTGTATATGCTACTTACTCCCATGGCCAGAGAATGGGCCCATGTTAATTTTATTTACTAGTGCGAATGGTCTAATGTAATCCTCAAGAATGTT